CAAAGACTGTGCCTCTATTTTGATCATCATGTCAGTGGCCTTGTCCCTCACCTCCAAAAGTGCATCTCGAACATGTTGAGCCTGATATCGCACAGCTTCCACACTGTTGACCCGGCTCTCCCACCTGGTTTTCAGACCATGATTTCAAGGTAGTGGTGACATGGCTCTTCAAAATGTCCCAGCGCTTTGTGGATGCTGAAAACAATGTAAAAAGCTTTTGGAGGTAGCCAAAGTATCCAGTGGCATCTTGGGAGCTTTTCGCTGCATCAGCTAACACCAGATTGAGAGTGTGTGCGCCACATGGCACGAATAGTGCCCTCGGGTTTAGTTCAAGTAACCTGGCCTGAACTCCTTTGTTTTTCCCTCGCATATTGGCACCATTCTCATAAGACTGTCCCCTACAGTCCTCAAAGGGGATGTTCAGTTATTGGAGCCTATCCAGGATGAGGGATGACAAACTCTCGCCAGTTGATTCCTCAGCAACAAGGAACCCCATGAAGTGTTCCTTAACTTGTGGCATCTTCTCCATTGTAACAATCCTTAAGATGACTGATAACTGCTCTGTGTGGCTAATGTCAGGTGTGCAGTCCAGAATGACGGAATAATATTTAGCCTTCTTAATTTCTTCAATCATGTGGGTACTGATTCTCTCACCGATACATTCAATGAGTTCATTTTGAATATTTTTTCCGAGATATGTGGTATGGCTTGCACCCCTTTTGACTTTAGCAACGTGTTCTTTCATTACAGGGTCAAACATTGCCATCAGCTCCACTTCTTTAAGGAAGTTGCCATTGTTGGGTTTGTTGAGTGTGTCACATGTTCCCCTGAGGCCCATGTTTCTCTCAGCTAATGATTGAATGATGGCGACCAACCTTGTTACCAACTCACGCCATCTCTTCCTTTCTATGTTTGTAAGCGCCATCTCAGTCCTATCAATAGTTTTCCTCTTTTGTAATCGAAACTCTAACTGTTTCCATGATTCCATGTGTTTAGTATGTTCTGGAGTGTTTTCGTGTGTTTTCAGTAATTGGTGGCAATTTTTCCAGTCATTTAGTCCTGCACTGATTAATTTGTATTCCTTCTGGGAGAACAGCTTGCAGCAAAAACAGTAAAGGCTGTCGTTTTTCTGTGAGTACAATAGCCAGCTTCTCTTGATTCTTTCCCCATTTACCAGTTTTCTATAAAAGTATTGGTGGTGGCAGCTTCTCCCATCCTGTCGTTTTGGAAAAATTAAGTGTGGTTTTGCCTGATAGGGTCCTCTGCTCACAAACTCTGTTCTTACCTTATCAGACATGGATGGCCAGTCGGCAGGGTCAACAGCTGCTGCCTTTGTGGCGTCACGTGCTGCAGACTGTGTTGTGGTACTCGGGATCAATGTTTCCCCTGCAGATTGTGTAGCAGCAGGTTCACTTGGGATTGGTATTGATACGTTTTCACCTGCATGCACACACAGTCAAACATGCATGGACACAGTTAGACACCCACTGTGTGTGTGTGTGTTTGGATCAATGTCTCTCCTGCAGATTGTGTAGCAGCAGGTTCACTTGGGACAGGTAGTAGTGATACGTTTTCACCTGCAGACAGTCAAACATGCATGGATACAGTCAGACACCCACTGTGTGTGTGTGTGTGTGTGTGTGTGTGTGTGTGTGTGTGTGTGTGTGTGTGTGTGTGTGTGTGTGTGTTGTGTGTGTGTGTGTGTGTGTGTGTGTGTGTGTGTGTGTGTGTGTGTGTGTGTGTGTGTGCGTGTGTGTGGAGAATCCTAAACAAGCCTCACCTGTGCTTTGTCATTAAGTGGAATATAAAGCAGCTGCTGATGTCTCAGTTAATCGTCCAGTCCCCTTCATTTTAGACTTGTGTTTTTGTTGGAAGGTGTGCTGGACATTGCCAAGCTCTGATACTGACTATATTCTTTTTGGTTTTACTGCTTACAAACTGCAACATGCTGAGGCTTGGGAGCATGTAAGTTACATTTCTTGTAGATTTATTTCTATGTGTGTACTTAATTGTCTCTAAATGATGTGTTTTATGTGTTCAAGTTTGTTATGGATGGCTGCAGCTATCATCTTGTGTCAAGCCAGGCCTAATGTGAAGCTACATTCGCAGTCAAGTAAGCTTCAATTCTCATTAAGTCATTTTACACAGCATATTAAGTCGGTTTACATTCTCCTCACAAGCCTTTTCTTTTAACAGGCAGTGGGTTAAGGTCTGACTGTGCCGCAAATGTAATGAGACTGTCGTTGGACAAGGCTTTAGCAGTGGGAAACCAGCTTGAGGTGTAGGCTATCAGTAAGTATTAACTGCTAATAATGCAGCTGATCACTGAGGAAAGGGGTCCCTGACAAAGCTTATTTTCTCCCCTCAGATGGCACCAAGCACATTTTGTTAACACCTAGCATGGCTGCTCAGTGTGGATACAGCATGGAGTCTGACCCGTGGGGTAACACCAGAATCTACACCTCCTGATGGGCTGCTTTGTGGACAACAAGGTTTGTTTTGAGCTAAAGTGGTTTAACAGCATTCAATGTAATTTTCTACCAAGTTTAGCTGTGCTAATTCTGTCAAGTGACTGAATTAATGGCTCAACAAACACATGGTTGCTCCCATTTTTGTGTTTCCCTGAATTTATTTGTAACCCCTTACCGTTAAAAGACCCAAGTACATTTCCCTTTTTTGTTTGGTACATCCCTAAATATTAGCACTGCTCCACTCAAAACTGTATTCCTCAATTAATCTACTAGGTACTTTCTTGACTTGTTTGTTACATACACAAATATCCATTTAGACTTCAAATGTGTCCCTGAAGGCAAGGATATTACATTTTCAATGACAAAGAAGCTGGAACCAAAGAATATTAGGCAGTTTTACTTAATTTAGTTTTTTTTATATTTATAGGATGATGCTACATTTAACGTTGGCTTGAGACTCAAGATGTATGGCGAGAATCCATCAGACGTGGTCAGTCATGATGTGTCTCAGACTTGCAGCTACACACGCTGGGCCTCCAGGGAGATCCTCTGCGACAGGAACTACATGGAAGTAGGTCATCTTTACATTGATGAGTCCACCATCTTGTGTGTATGGAAACTAATGCTAAAACCACCATTTTCTGTTTTAGGTTTCGCACCACATGGCTAACCTTGATGCTGAAGCTAAGGGTCAGACTTGGGATGGTAAAGACGAGAAGCTCAACGCCAATCTTGAAGTATGTTGAATTAAACTGTTCAGATACTACAGTTTAATTCCTCCCTACACCAATGAGGATTTAATTATTATTTGTTCTTTCCTGTAGGCCTCTGGTGCATCACAAGGTATCTGGAAGATGACGTTTTACACCCCAGAACCAGTGGCCATGGTGTTGCAAGAGGCTGAACAAGCCGGCTACGCTGCCAAAACTTCCTCTAGTCGCCTGGTTATGCGAAGCCCGTACAATACAGCAGAGACTTATTCAGAGGATGTAAGCAACACACTCCTATACAGTGTTTCTTTCCTTTCCCTCCTTGTCAATTATATTAAACCTCTCCTCTCTTTATGGTGGCTGGAGTCCCCATGGAAGTTTTCAGGGTGAGCGCCCTACTACATGGCACCACAGGGGTCTGAATGTAGTGAACTTGGCAGCTGCTTGTCCCAAAGGTGAGTCCTGAGCAACATATTGCCTTCACAGTAAGCTTAATTGTTGCACAGTTAACCTCAACAGCTCCATTTTGTCATTAACAGGTGGCGTCCTCTTCACCGAGGATATGATCTCTTGGCACGTACCTCGCCGTGTGACTCCTCTGTTGGACGGCAGAATTACAGTCTCAGAAATGCACATGGGAATCAACGGGAAGAGGCTTGATAGATCTCAGATGGCCGCACGGGGGTACACACTGAGCACCATAGACTTCCACATCGTCGTCGAGATCCCAGTGGGCTCGCCTGATGGTTACTACAAGGTTGGGGAAATCTCTAGATTAGAAATGCAAGAGTCACTAGTGCATTTGCATGTTTTATTGAAATGTCATGAATTATTGCAGAGCCATGCCCCAGATTACCAGTACCACATCACCTACTTTGTGGAGCCCATGCTTGAGGTACTGTGGAGAGAATATGACACCCAAGATGATACCAGATACAAGGTTTTGTTCCCCATCATGACCCCTCTGATGCCTCAATCTCCCCAAATCCAAGATGGTAAGTCACATTTTCTAGTAGGTATGAAAAAAATGACATTTGAACTCGGGCTTGCTCGGATATATCCTAAAGACTGCTAAACCCATTAAATAAAGTCTTCAGTTTTTGCAAAATGGTGTGTTTGGATGGGATTTGAAGCCAAGTACAAAATCTACTTTTGCTTACAAAGGGCACTTTTTTGTTTTTTTAAATAGCACTCAATCCAACTACTCAATTTTTCTCTATCAATGTTGAGGCTGGTTTAGAAGTTGTAAACCTGCCACTTTCTGTTCCTCAGACACTGTCCCAGAGACTCGGGTGTTCAGCGTTCTCTTGGGAACCTTCCTCCATGACGTTGAGCTGAGGAACATCACCTTCTCCACCGGGGTCCTCACTGTTGAGGAGAGCAATGCCAAAGGCTTCACAGTCCAGGAACACAGCTTGGCTAATGGCTCCAAGAGCTTCTCTCTTCAAGTGCCCTTTGATGCCGATGTTGTCTTAAAACATGTATGACATTATAGATTCAAAATATCACTTTGTACCAGCATATTTTCAGTGTTGCTGAGCTTTTATTTCATTTGTTGCAGAATCCTGAGCGCTTGGTTACATCCTACTTCCTCCCTCTGATCTTTGGGGTTGATCGTCCTGCCTGAAGAAACTCCTTTTGCGCTCCCCGGTCGACCTGCAGGCCTCTCTGCAGGATATTGGTGAGATCATATTGAATTTGCTTTTGACAATATCTTCATGCAAATTGTGTTTTCTAAAATTAAATAAAACATATATAAGAGTAAAAGCTACACAATCAAATGGATAATGCATGTTTTGCTGCTCTAGTGTTACCCATCATGGCTGGCACCTGTGACCAGAATCAGTTTTACATCAGCGTGAAGTTCGGGAGTCACGGCTCTAATTTCAAGGCTATCGTTGGACCTCGAGAGCTGACGGCTGAGATGGCTGAAGACTACAATTTCTATGAGAACGGCACACACCTCAGCCTCATTCTGCCATACACTGCCAAGGACGCTGTTTTCGAGGTATGTCAAAACTACAAAATCCCACCATAGATCTTCTGCATTGGCTAACTTTACTTTCTTTTCCACAGCTGCTCACTGCAGAATCAGTCAAATCCAGAATTGACCTGCTTCTGTTGGATCGTGCAAACGACTGGGTGCTTGCTGATCTCTATCTGGCTTGCTACTTCCCCTTAAAAGCAACAGGTAAGATGGAACATGTAAGTATATTTGCTGCTTTAATTGATGGATTTGTGTTTACACATTGCCTGCTTCTTCCTCCAGAGTGCCACCCCAATGGCACAATGACCGCTGTGGCTGTGAAGGTTGAATCGACTCGTAATCTGAAGCCAAGTCAGTCAATCAATCAATCAATGTTTATTTATATAGCCCAATATCACAAATGTTACATTTGTCTCAGTGGACTTTACAGTTTGTACAAAATATCAGTATGACAATACGACACCCTCTGTCCTTAGACCCTCACATCGTACAAGGAAAAACTTCCGAAGAAAACCCACAGTTTAAAGGGAAAAATGGGAGAAACCTCAGGGAGAGCAACAGAGGAGGGATCCCTCTCCCAGGACGGACAGATGTGCAATAGATGCCGTGTGTAAATTGAAAAGATAATACATTTGCAACATAGGTAGTCCAAATGTTTGGAAATGCATGTGTGTATAATAGGAAGATGAATCCACGAGGATATCCATCCAGGACCTATGATCCAGGACCACAGCCACGACTCAAGATCCAGGACAGAGGAGCGCAGGATCATCCATGACTCCGGATCCCGGCGTATACAGACACCAAAAAGAAAGACATTTGGGGAAGCTGGGTTAATCGGAACATGAGAGTACACAGGTATAGACAGAGAGAAGGAAGAAGTAAGATGTCCCCCGACAAACTAAGCCTATATCAGCAAAACTAGGGGCTGAATCTAATCAGCCCTAACTATAAGCTTTATCAAAAAGGAAGGTCTTAAGCGCACTCTTAAAAACGGATAGGGTGTCTGCCGCCCGAACACAAACTGGAAGCTGATTCCCACAAATGTGGAGCTTGATAAGAAAAGGCTCTGGCTCCCATTGTACTTTTAGAGACTCTAGGAACAACCAACAACCCTGCATTCTTGGAACGCAATGCCCTAGTAGGACAGTAGGGTATAATGAGTTCTTTAAGGTAAGATGGCGCCTGCCCATTAAGGGCTTTGTAGGCGAGAAGAAGAATTTTAAATTCTATCCTGTGTTCTATAGGGAGCCAGTGTAAGGCAGCCAGAACAGGAGTAATGTGGTCCCTTTTCCTAACTCTGGTTAGTACACGAGCTGCAGCATTTTGAATCAGCTGAAGCAACTTGACTGACTTCTTGGTACACCCTGATAATAAAGAGTTACAATAATCCAGCCTTGAAGTAACAAATGCATGGACTAGTTTCTCTGCATCGTTTTGAGGCAAGATATGCCTGATTTTTGCAATGTTACGTAGATGGAAGTAGGCGGTCCTTGACATTGATTTTATGTGGGCGTTAAAGGATAAATCCTGATCAAATATAACACCAAGATTCCTTACAGTCTCACTGGAGGCCAAATTAATGCCATCCATGGTTAATATATCCTTAGATAATTTGTTTCGTAGATTCTTCGGGCCAAGTACAATAACTTCAGTTTTGGTCGTGTTTAACATCAAAAAGTTTAAGGTCATCCACGTTTTTAAGTCCTTAAGGCAGTCTTGCATTTTATTTAGATGATTAATTTCATCAGGCTTGATTGATAAATATAGTTGAGTATCATCCGCATAACAATGAAAATGTACAGAATGATTCCTTATAATATTGCCTAACGGAAGCATATATAATGTGAACAAAATAGGTCCGAGCACTGAGCCCTGTGGCACTCCATGGCTAACTTTGGTTTGCGTGGAAGATTCATCATTGACACGTACAAACTGAGAGCGTTCAGATAGATAGGACCTAAACCAGTCTAAAGCAGTTCCCTGTATGCCAACTAAGTGCTCTAGTCTTTGCAATAGGATATCATGGTCGATAGTATCAAATGCAGCACTGAGATCGAGCAAAACAAGAATAGAGACACGTCCCTTGTCAGAGGCTATTAGAATGTCATTTGTGACTTTAACCAGAGCTGTCTCTGTGCTATGATGTGTTCTAAAGCCAGACTGAAAATCTTCAAATAAATCATTGTTTTTTAAGTAATCACACAGCTGTTTTGCGACCGCTTTCTCAAGAATTTTTGAGAGGAACGGAACGGAAGTCAGCTGACGCTAAAGGACCAGTCCTGCACACCACAGTTCAGCGACGATCGCGTTGCATATTTTTCCTTCAGTGTGGATACCTGTGGAACCACCAGAACGGTGAGTGTGAATCACATTTAAATATCAAAAGGTTTTTTTTGTCAAATGTTAATGCGGTTTTGTTGTTAAATAGTTCTTTGACAACTACATGATGTATGAAAATGAGATCCGCCTGTCTTACAACAACGCCAAAGGAGCAGCAAACACATCACCAGTTGATCCTGATTACAGGTAAAATATTTGATTCTGTATAATTGGAGATGAACACCTTCAATGTATGCATTTATATATATTATTTTTTCCCTTAACAGACGCTAAAAGCAATACAAAACTGGAATGAGGTTTTTTAAAACAGCGGGATATGTTCATTAGTTTCCTGCTCTGCATGAACTTTGTTCACCCGAGCAATTGTGATCATATTAGCCACTTCACCAAAGCACCTTTTCTAATAGAGCCACTGAGTTGGCACATTGTACACACAGATTACAGAGAACTGAAGCCCCAATAAAGAACAAGATGAAGACAATCAGATGAGAAATGTGTAAACACTTTACATATTAACTAACAAAGACTATAGACTATAGTGTTTACAGTACCACATTTCAGTATAATAAACCACCAACAAGTATGTCCTGCTGCAGCATTTTTGAATGTACAGTTTTACTATAAGACTATCAGTGTTGTTGATGTAGTTTCAGGTTTCCTCCAGGTGGAGGCAGTGTAGGACACGCAGTTCAGCTGCTTCGTGAGGGTTTTTCATGAGAATAAGAAAATTAAAAAAGACAGTGATGAAGCTGCTGTGTGGTGGAAAAATATAATGTTGTTGTAGTATTTTATTTTTGAGTTAAAAAGACTGGGTCCCGCTGTATTGCACAGGCTGCTCTACAGCGTCTATGCACAGGCGCGATCCTACTACTGAGCGGCACGGGGGCTTTGGCCTGCTCCGTCTCCGGCCTTGGCCGATGCACCCCTCCTTAGACGACCTGGTGGTCCCGAGCTCCCCCAGGCGCACCATATCGATACCGTACTTAGTGCGGACACCCGATCGGCATAGTCCGCTGCAGCTCAGGTCTCCTGAGCTCAAAAGCTTCACCAGCTTCAGCCTCCTAGTAACTTGGATTACAGGCGCGCGCCACCGCACCCGGCGGGAAATAGTCTCGCTCATAGGGTTTTTGAATTCGACAAATGTGATGTAATCAAGCAGCAAGCCGGAGTGGCATCTAGTGGCGGGAAATAACACTGCAGCTGCTGAAGAGATGAAGGCTGAGTTTGTTAAAGTTCTGGATATCGAACTTCATCTGTTCATTCATATATTAATTTGTATATATTTAGGGCCTGAGCACGAAGTGCAAAGACCTATTGAAATCGTCAGATTTTCTTATTATTATTTTACCGGTTCTGCACTTTCGACCTGTTTTTGAGGGGGTTACGACACTATTCATGTAGCGACATTTAGCAACGCCGGCAGGACGGGTGAAAATGTTAACATTCTGGATTTGATGGGTGAAAAATGTCCAACTTGCTCTCTAGCGCCACCTGTGTAAATGCAGTTTTTCGAAACATTTACAAAGTCGCAGCGTGACTCTGACGGACCTGCAATTTTGCACACTTATTCGGGTGCAGCAGTTCTACATATTATCTAAAAATCCCCATGAAATCCCGAAGCTCCGCCTACTTTGATTTTTTTTTAATTAGCATAATGTGAAAAACAGTAAAATGAGCACGAGGTGTGGAAAAATGTGGCCAACATCAATCAAAATGTATTAGCAAAAAGGTGTGGCCTACACATAAATGCTCACAATTCATCCAAAATGTATCCAAATATCACAGATTTCAATGGATAGGTTCAGTGTGTCTTGGTAAATAGGCACGACAAACAATGTTCATTTCGGACAATAGGGGGTGCCAAAAACACAACTAATTTATATCAAGAACCGATGGCCTAAACAAATATATGTTGTCATAGACATACTGGCAAGGTGAGTATAAACTGAGATTTAAAGGGTCGCAACCAATGAAAGATTTGGGCGAGTCCTATTCAGTTTTTTCTCGAAATCGAAGGGTTAAAAAATGTACCGAGACATAAGTAGGGGAAAAAATGAGTTGCAGCCTTTACATTTGGAACGCATGTCACAGCCCACAACGTTTTCCAGACTGTAGAAAAAAATCGTACGTTTTAGCAAATATGGCTCAGTAGCGCCCCCTATTGTGCGGTAGTCAAATATAGTTTCTTAGAACTAGCCGAAACTTGGCACAGAGATTCCTCATGGAAATGCGGACATATTTCAAAATGGCTTCCATTATCCACGCCCCCTATTAAGTCGGCCATTTTGAAATATGTCCATTTTAAGGAAAATGATCGGAAAAATTCCGATCCAGGACAAGATCAGCCCATATCCAATGCGATGCTAAATTACGAATGAATAATCGACTGCTCAAACGGGGAGCTCGTAAGCTAACAGAACATGTACCAATTTTGACGATTTAAATGCCACAAAATCGCTAAAATGACTTTTGGATGGATAACTTGGAACACACGTCACAACCCACGCCTTTTTCCAGACTGTAGAAAAAAAAACGTACATTTTTGTACACCAGCTCAGTAGCGCCCCCTATTGTGCGATAGTCACATATAGTTTCTCCAAACTACCCCAATCTTGCCACAGACATTACTGATGGAATTGCGGACATATTTCAAAATAGCTTCCATTAGCCCCGCCCCCCAGAAAGTCTACCATTTTGAAAAATCGGCGTTATTCATGCATTTTCAGCGCATTTTCGCAAACACCTCCTCGGGAAAAGATCGGAAAAATTCCATTCCAGGACAAGTTAAGCCCATATCCAATATCATGGATAAAATAAAATAGTTGCTAGCTCAATCGGGGTGAACGTAAGCTAACAGAGAATGTACCATTTTTGATGATTTACATGTCTCAAATGACTCCAAACTACTCGCATATTTTTCCAGATATTCACGAAACGCTGTATACACATTGCTATTATGATGGCACACAAATTTACCAGCAACAGCTCTGCTTATTAATTTCCCACATGAACCATAAACACCCAATACATATAAAAGTCATAAACAATGTATGGTGAAATGTTTTCCATCTTTGTTTTTCTATCTACGACTACAAACAGTCTTTCCACTACAAGCAAAACAGTAACACATCTTTCTATGCAATACAATAGAACACATAATTTAAACCAGCAGGATGTAAACTGAGGAGAACAGCCGGTCTGATTTAGTGTCATGTGATTATCCTGTAATGCAGGGGTGGGGAACCTTTTTCCTCTCAAGGGCCATTTCAATGTTTACAACATCCTCCGAGGGCCGTACAAATTATTGACCTCTGCTTAAAAAAACTAAAATCACAGCCCATTCATTTGGCCTTTCTTTCATGCTGTGCAAAGAAAAAGCAACCTCTTAATCCAGATATCTTACCATGACTCTCGCATGCATGCAAGGCAAGTTTATTTATATAGCACTTTTCAACACAAGGCAATTCAAAGTGCTTTACAAAAAATGAAAGACATTAAGAAAATGGCATTTCAAATCAGTTGTTAAAAAGAAAAGCTAATAAAATAAACATTAAAAGAAAAAATACATGGATAAAAGTTACAGTGCAGTCTAAGATATGAATAGTTCAATTAAACATTAAAATAAAAAGTGCATGGATAAAAGTTACAGTGCAGTCTAAGATATGAATAGTTCAATTAAAATACATGTGCACGGTTGTGACCACCAAAACAGAAAGATATGGACACAAGATGTGTGCAAATGTATTTAGTATCCTATCCATGTGAACATGATTTAAGTGGGGGGGGGGGGACCTAACCTCATCTAGGGGGGTCCGGGGGCATGTTCCCCCGGGAAGATTTTGTTTTAAATGTTGGCGTTAAAAGCATCAATCTGGTGCACTTTGAGAGCAACATGAAGAGATCTATGGAAACATCTCTCAACACCCATATGAAACAGAACTGGAAGCAGATTTTCTTTTTCTTTATGGATATTTTAAAAATCACTCTCCTTTCAAACTGTATTCTTGTTTATTAATCGTATAGTATTTTATACCTGTTTTTCCTTTATTCTCTTGTTTTTTATAACTATAATGATCATATAAAGATGTGCGTTTACCTCACTGGTTGTAGTAAAAGCTTCTTATATTCGTTAGCATAGCTAGCTAACCAGATGCTAATAACAACAAAGTTATTGACTGTATGTGTGACAGATGAACAGATCGCCACTGGGCTCTCAACTAAAGACACAGCCATGCAAAAACTGTGGCATGTGTACGGCTCCTTATGGGTACTGACATTTTTTAAGTCCCGGAGCAACGTTCTGGTGCTCTCAGTCAGAACTGCACCCCTGTCAGACAAGACATATACCACGGAATGACACGTTAGGCTCGTGTTGTGTTCAAGGACCCTGACCGTGGCCAGGAAAAACAGGCACTCGCTTGTTTAATTATTTTGCGATCTCGATTTCTTACATTTTTTGCTTGTGCTATTATAAATTACCTCGAGGGCCGTATCAAATGGTCTTGCGGGCCGTATTCCTGCCGGAGGTTCCCCACCCCTGCTGTAATGAGTAACATACACGGTGTTGATCGACTATATAAACAGTTCATTTATTGTCTCGATACATGTGTTGTGTAAGACATTTGAATCAATTTGATACGTCAATATTAAATGTACCTTTATTTTGAAAAACGTTATTGTGAAGGACAAACCGGATGTCACATTTCCGGTATTGCCGGTTTAGGGAGATTTAATTCAGGTAGCTTGCCTTGGCTGTGTGTGTGCGCGGAGGTTTTGTCGTCGACAGACTCATTAAAATACCCACTTCTCGGTACATAGAAACCCTGCTCCACTTTGTCAAACGTGAGTAATATCGCAATTGGTGTGTTATACGGAAATGTGTTGACGTTGTATGCTTTTCATTGGAACACGCGGTGGGTGTGTGCATTGCTAATGCTAGTTAAGCTAATGAAGCAGGTCCATGCTACCTCACGCGGATAGCAATGCCTTTGAAAACCAGTTTAGACCAGACAAAGAGCTATGTTAGCCTAGGGCATGTTAGTAGCTAGCGCCACTTGTTTTGATGTACGTTTTTGTTGATAACCTCGCGAGTTTGTATCTTGCAGTGTTGAGGTGGGCACCGTTAGATTCTGTGGCTTTACGGTGATAAACAATGTGTTGGATGTGGAGCTAGGATAAGTAATAAG